ATGATTAAATGGCTAATATTAACGTGTATTGATGTTAGTCATTTTGCTATTATGAATTACCCAATAATAGTATTTATGATGGGTTAGCTAAGGTGTTTACCATTTTCATGAAATCGTCATTTAATTTAACATTCTCATTACAGCACAAGGCTTTTGTGAACTGTGTGGAGCCGAATGCAGAAGAACCAAGAAGGTATAGGAGCAAAATAACATTCAAGCAATAAAAGTGTGCAAAGATCCAGCAGTCTGGACGTGATTGGTACTTGACCCTCTGTGTCACCATGCCTTTTGGATGTAGACGAGCAGAATGTCCCTCTGCCTGAAGCCTTTGCTCGTGCCACGCATTAGTGTGTAATAAATAATGCTGGTGAGTCTGCTCTGCCTCGAGGCCTCCCCTCCAGGCTGTTCTCTGTGGAATTTACAACTTTGATGGCATTACCCACATTTCACATCTTTTCATGTTGTTGTTCTCATTTCTTCATGGCAAGCAAATGGTGCTGCCTGATGTGACATCTACAATATTTTGGACATGTCAGAATTGTCTCTAGGGCTGCCACAAACGATTATTTTGATAGTCGACTAGTCATTGATTATTTTTGCGATTAGTCGACTAATCAGATCATGCATCCATTGGACGTAAAACGTACAGCTTATTGCGCCAGCAGCATCTGCTCTTATATAACTATCATTAGCTTACAGCTTTAAGTGTTTAAGGTATGTGCTAACTAAAAATAAAGACAAGATGATAGTTTATTACATTTTAATGACATTTGCAGATTGTTTCGGTGGAATTTAATAAACTCAGCCGTGTGCTCCTTGTTATCTAAAATATAACAGGACACCGGAGTATATTCTCGAGCATCTCACACTTCTGATAATCAGTTGCCTGCTTGACGTTTATTCAGCTGTGTAAAAACTATAACTTTAATCTCAGCCAAACCGATTTACTCAGGAATAAATAAAATACTGAAAAAAGCCAAACAATAACATTTTTAAGTTATCTAAGTAACTTTTATCATGTTTAACCTGAGTAGCGAAAGACGGAGGTGGGTTTGAAAATTATTTGCCGGGATTCCGGTGTTCTCACCGGCTCTAGTGAGCCTTGAACCCCAGCTAGCTATCGAGCTAGTGGGTAACAGACGTCTCCGAAAACGTTTGAGCGCTTTTGAAAATATGTGTCTTGATAAACTGAGCAGATATTTGAGGTTTACACAGCTACATTCTCGCCTGAAAATATGTTAAACGTTTATTTTGTGACCCAGAAAGAAAAATAAGAATAATATTAAAACTAACTAGCTGCCGCCATTGTTGGAAACTGAGCAGGGCCGCGCTATGAATTCTGGGATAGGTTGGGCCACGAAGTATACACCAGACCTATCCTTCAAATCTGGGAAAATGAAGGGCGCATTTGTCGGAGTCTTCAAATTTGGACAGTCTTCGTCGTGTCGCTGTAACGTAATCGGCCTACAAAAGTGGGCACAGGAGGATGCGGTTCCTGAATTTGGACACAGCTACGATACCGGACACAGCTTCTTCTTCTTCGGGGTTTAACGGCAGCTGGCATCCTTGTACATGCAGTGCTGCCATCTTCTGTTTCAGTCCGTTATTACACGCTTAATTCCTACTACTTATTCCTGCATGTTTTGGGATCTTACAAAGCTTCAAACGACGCGTCAACTATTAACAATTTTCAACACCAGTGCACATGTTAAGTTTGAAAAGTGAATGTTACAGTTGGGTCCTTCAAAGTCAGCAGACTGTTAAAGCTTTGCTATCTCTTTGATAGCTTTGTTTTTTGTTTTCCATCCTAGTGATGGCCTCTCTCTTAGCCTGGCTCTACCAGAGGTTTCTTCCCGTTAAAAGCATGTTTTTTCCTTCCCACTGTTGCCAACTGTTTGCTGATAGGGGGGTGTCTGCTATTTGGAGGTTTCTCTGTATTATTGTAGAACCTTTATCTTACAGTTATAAAGCGCCTCGAGGCAAATGTTATTTTGATTTGGCAATTGAAGTTCTAGTCAGACGCTTTCAAATACAAGTCCAACACCTGTAGTCATCTCAGAATATTTATGTAATTTGTAATGGGGTGACCAGGGAACAGGCTTCACCTGACCATGACACTGCTCATCAATAAATTGGCCAGTTACTTTTGAGCCTCTGAAATTAGGGCACTGTTTACTTAAAAATGACCATAAGTCCTAAACAGGTAATGCAAAGTTGTGGTGGTACATAAACACAATTACAGAGTGTCTCACTGTCCAAAAGCCTGTGGGCTGCATCTGTAAATAATTTTTTTTAAAACTAAACTCCTTTTTAAAAAGAAAGTAAATAGTCTTTTACAAAAACTGGTTTCCTCCTTGATAACAGCTCCAGGGGAAGAATTTTGAACCTTTATTAATATAGGGTATTAGAGAGAAGACATGAAAAATGTGAGACAGCAGGGGGAAGACAAGCAGTAAAAGGACTCGGGCAGATTCAATTTTTGACATTTTTTTTTCCCCCTTTAAATTTTAAAATCAGTGACTGTGTAATACCCCTGTCCTTTGCAAATAATTTGACACATCACTGTTTCATTAAATGTTAGCATTTAACCTCTGGGCAACGACAGGATGGCAGTGTCTCTCTTTCATGTACAATCTGTGGTCCTAACTTAAAGCCACAACTCTCAGGCATGATTCTCCTATTTCTAATAAAAACACAGTCCTTATACAGTTTAAAACTTGCAAATCCACTTCAACCGATCTCCTAGAAAGAACCTGCCTCAGACTGAAAGAGGTACTGAAGACAGTGGCAGGCTGAGAGAGAGCACTGCCTTAAAGAGACTGTATTCTGTGCAAGTCAATAATATCGATCCTTGCTCCTAGAGGCCTGGTGTTGTTATGTAATCTCCAACACTGTGTGTATGAGAGAGTATGATTCACCTCAAGGACCGTTGATGACATGTGTGGAGCAGATAGGATTAAAAATGTGTGAAGGGCCTTGCAGCTAAGATCTGCTACCGTGAAAGAAGACTCCTGTTGTTTTTCTCTTGGCCATGTTACAGCATGCACAAATGGCAGCCTGAAATAACACAGCTTTGAGGTATTGGTTTCTGAATGACCCATATTAAACTTTAGTGATGATAGAGGTGTTCAGTGGAATTGATTCCCTCTATTTGTCACCCTAAATGATTATAAGAAGAGTCTTCATCTAAAATTATTTTCCCACCCGCCTTAAACATGGATTTCATTAAATAACTGGTCATGCAGTAGTCACTTGGAGGAGTTGCGTTTGATCCCTGTACTGCTGATTTGCAGCTATTTGTCAATCGCTCAACCCCACCCCACCCCACCCCACATCACCTTCCTCATCCTCCTCACCCCCTCCTCTCCAAACCAGCTGCATTCCTCGCTGTTGTGTGTCCTGTGCTCCTGGAATTTGTGAGAAGTCATCGGGGGAGGGATGGGACAGGAAAGCCGGGAAGAGGAAGGCACTGAGTGACAAAGTGGTGCCGAGATCGAAGTGAAGCACTGACGTTAACAGAAGGAGAGATTGTAAGAAAAGCACAAGAAGAAAAGGATCCAACAGCCAGAGGCAGAAAGAGGAGGAAGTCTGGTAAAGGGGGAGGTGTGCGTCCTATTAGATTATCCTGCTCCCCAGGGGAACAGCCAATATTGATGAATTGATTGCAGGCCCCTCCCCATCCACTCAGGTCTCCTGCTATTGGGTGCCACTGATCTGGTGTCTCTTTGGGATATGACGCCCTGTGCATATTTAATTAGCCCTCCATTACAAGCGATCGGTATTCAAGCAGGGGGGTTTAAAGCAAAGCTCAGCGTTTAGCAGCAAAGGTTAAATGACATCTTCCATTTCTGTCCTGAGGGACATTTTTGTCCACGATGATCAGTGCAGCTTTTACCTCATCTCCTGTATGTGGTGCATCCTGATAAACATGGGAGCATATTAGCAATATTTGTGTTAAAATCTCAACAAGCCCAAGACTTCTTTCCAGATTGAGTATTGATTGAGTTTTGGTGGCCTCTTGGTCGCCATGTTTAAGAAGAGAAGTGCGCTCAGGGGTTTTGAGCTCTGTTTGAGCCTCCCTGCTAGGACATGCATATGGATAACTTCTTTATCATTCAAAGCCTTTTCTCTTAAATTAGGTGTGTGTGTGTGTGTGTGTGTGTGTGTGTGTGTGTGTGTGTGTGTGTGTGGGACTGACTCTTATTGTGGTGCTTAATTTATTCATGCTGCTTGTCTCATTTTACCGTCAACCTTTTGTTGACTCACAGCAGCAAAACACAACGCCGACGCTGCATCCAGATTATAGTTGAGATGAGGAGTCGGGCACCGTTTCAGAAATAACATCCATCAGTAACAGGCTTGAAAACGCATATCACCTGAACATTTGCTGCTCGTGTTAGTAGCGATTTAAAATGCAAAAAAACAAAATACAGCATAGATGGAAGTCATCCAGTCAAACCAGACTCGTTTATCTTACGCTGGACCTCAGTGCATCGCCCTCATTGTATCCACTCTCTAAAACGAGCTGCTTTAGGTCCCGCCCTTCCTTTAAGCCAGCTTTCTTCTGTTTGGTTGTTCCACATAAACCGACGGTTCGAGAAGCAGATGGGTGGGGCTTTCTTTGCCAGACACAACCATATTAGCAGTATCCGAAAGAGAAGACTTGATTTTATTATTTAGAGATGAGGTTCATGTGTCAGCATGTGTGTAGCATTAAGCCCTATGTTAAACTGTTCTTATATAGCACTTTTCTACTCTACCCAAGTACTCAAAGCGCTTTGTACAATATGCCTCACTCACCCATTCATATAAGCACTTTTTTCCCCCCTTTTTTATGTAAGTGCTATATAGCTATCTAACATTCACACACATTCATACTCTGATGCATGCCTCTGAGACTGGAGTTTCTGTGGTCAGCACCCAGACTTTGGCCCCTTTGAGCTTGATGTTGATGTCTGAACGCACAGCTGAAACGATGCGTGTGCTACCTGTTTTCTCAGGTGTTTCTGTTCTTCTGTGAAACCTGCACGGTGCCTATCTGCAGAGAGTGCAGCATGGGCCGTCACATGGGCCACACTTTCGTTTACCTGCAAGACGCCGTTCAGGACTGCCGGGCCATCACCATCCAGCTGCTGGCAGATGCACAGCAGGGACGACAGGCGGTGCAGGTAGGACCGCAACCTCACTGATGATAAATTCTGTTGTTTGTATGTTGGTGCTGGTGAGGTGACTCAACACACTGTGTTGGAGAAGAATCAGAAGAAAGTGATTTGAGTGTTAACTCAACAAACCCAAACAATTCAAGGACTTACAGGTAAGGTTGTCCTACTTCTGACAAAAACAAGGTTCTTGCCAAGATTAAAATATCCAAATGAACCTTTATCACTGCCTAATGAGGCTGAGTGGAAACTAGAGAGCAGCTGTGCGTGCCCCCCCCCCCCTCAGGACAGAGTGACCACCTATGGGAGACAATCAGCTTCAATATGTTTGAGAGTGACCAGTCCCTGGTGCTGGGAAGCCTTAGGGGTTAGAGGTCTCCAGCTGGCCCTAAAAAAAGGGGGGGTGGGGCTGTATGGAATGAGTTCTTTTGAGTGGGGGTGAGGGTGGGGGGGATAAGGCTGAAGGTCAAAGGGGAGGAGGAGTGGAAAGGAGTATGGGGGAGGGTAGATGAGGTATTTAAAGGATTTCAGAGAAAGGAAAACTCCCCTCTTCTTTCACAGAAGTGCAGCACTTTGCCCCCCTGTATTCACTCGCTCCCCCTCCACCTCTTTCTCCCACTCCCACACAAACACACAACACCTCTCTTCATTTACATAATTATAGATTGGGTGGCAGCTTCCTAAGCCCCCCCACCCCCAACCGAAATTCCTGCTTATACAGTGACACATGAATAAGTTGGAGGAAAAAATGTGAGTTTTATTAACACTTTAGTCTGCCTGGTCTTGTTTTGGGTTTTTTGTTGTTTTTTTTGTTGTTGTTTTTTTCGGCACATTAAAAATTCCAAACAATGAGCAGAAGGATTTTCTGTGAGTAATAGTGGAATCTTCAGTTATTCAGATGTCAGTCTAAATTTTGATTAAGGTAGGGGGAAGAATGGATAAATTGCAATGAGCAGTTTAAAAAAAAAAAAGTTTATAAATTCCTTTTTGAATACCTTGTGGTCAAACACTCAGCCAATCGTAAAGTCGGGTAATGGATTAGTTGTTAGTTTGAAATGGTAACTGGCTCACAGGGATACGTCAGACACACGAGTGTTATCTAAGTTGCCTCAAAGGCGGGGTGGTGGTTGTGACTTTGGTAAACACTCACCCAAAACATGAAACACTAGCTCATTGCGCTGAGGTCACACGACTTGCTGGCACGTACTATCTATTCAGTAGAGCATGTGCCTCGCCTATCCATTTCCCAGCTTAACCTCTGTGTGACCGCGCCTTGCTTTGTACCTTAATGGATGGGTAGTTGTAGGGATGCACTGATTGTGAAATTCTCAGCCGATACCAGTGTTTAAAATAGCAAGTTAACAAATGTGGCTTTTTCGTGTGTTCGTTTTGTTGTTTGTTTTAACCCTTGGCCTTTGTCACACTCTCTGTATCTTTGTGCTGCTTGGCTGATTTATTGGTGCGTGAGCAGCGCTTATGTCAACAAATTCAGAAATGTCACCACATAGATTTGCCAAACTCCTGGCCAGAAATAAAAGTCATGTCCCACAGCACACACTGGGATCATCATTATCATCAACAACAACAAACACCACACACTTGGTTTCATGAGAAGCACTGGGGTACGAGTAGCTGAGTCATAAGATACACCACCTGTCGTCTGGCAGCACCTTGGGCTTTGTGTGTGTGTGTTTGTGTGTCTGTCCACTTTTGTCCAGGTCACCGCGGGAGTAAATACTGACGCCAGATAATGTGCAAACACAAACGTAGGCATAGGCAACACACACGCACACACTCTGCTGTCCCCTGAGGTAGGAAATTTCCGCCCACTCTATACCCATTATCTTCGTTGACCCCTAACCCTGGACTTGTGACCTCCTGGTTGGCCGGAGCTCTATGCCTCAGAAGGTTTGATTGGTTAGTTTGACTCTCTTTGTGCTGCAAGCTGTGCTCCTCTGGGAATGTGAAGAGAAATGCGGAAGATGATGGCGACACAGAGACTGCGAGGGAGAGAGAGATGGAGGGGTGGAAGCAGGAGATGCAAAAAAAAAAAAATCACAGGGAGGGAAACGGAGATGGTTAAGAGAGGAGAGGGTGAAAGAAATCGTTAAATAGATTTCCTATCAGTATCAAAAAATCAATCTTGTAGAAATGTACAGATGGTGAGAAAAAGGTGGTAGCATTTTAATTTCAACGTGGCTCCTTATTAACTTTGATAACAGTCTGATTCCTTCAGAATTCCCGTCCTGCTGTTTCTTCTCTGGGGGCCTGATTTAGTTGTCCCTTTAGCTGGCTGTTTCAAATAGCCAGGCCAAAGAGAAAAGAGCCCTGCTGCCAGGCTTTATTGCTGCAGGGATGCATTGGGGGTGTTATGTGTCTTAAGACCGGGGCTGCAGAGCGCGAGCGGTGGTTTAGCTGACCTTTGATCCTTGCGGCCGATATCACAAAGGAAGACTTCAACCCTCCTCCCCTTCGTCCCTGTGAGGTCCTGATCACCCTCTGACCCCCCAGAAACTGCCAGAGGAAAGGCCAGATAAAACTGAGAGGCGGGGGGAGGCAAAGGGAAACTCAGTGTTGTAAAAGCTAAGACCTTTTGTTTGGTGCTATTGCTTTTCAGTGCTTGTATTGATCCAGGTTATAAACGTGCTCTTTCTGTTGAGCCTGACTGTAAAATGAGACTGCTTTTAAGTTCACAGAGATTCACATTGTAAATACTTTAGTCTAATCTAACCAGTCTAACCATGCAATGGCATCTTCCAATACTTTTCAGTATCCATTCTGTGGACTTTAAATCCTCAGTGTCTCAACAAATGGAGAAATCCACGTCAAACATGATCTTCATGTGATTTTTTTTTTTTTTTTTTCTTCCCCAAAGTCTGTCCCTTCTAGTAGGAAGTTGCATCATTTTTGGGCAGTGTGAAGCGACTTCCTATTCCTGGCTCATGTTTCCTCTTCCCTTCTAAAAGTACCACCAAATGTGACAAAAGAATAGATCACAAAATCTCTGCAGGTGCTCGTGCACTGATTTGGATGTCACATACAGTGTCCTTTTATGTTTCCTGATCCTCTGCGTCCTGTTTCTGGGTCCCATATGGCTAATAAAACAGGCCAGTCTTTATACGTTCCCGCCCTTTGTCACACTACAGAGTGACAGCTACATTTGCACATTATAGTCCTCTCTTTGTGCCTTTCCATTGCTAGTGGTATTTTTTTTATTTATTTTTTTTTAAAATAGCAGCCTGGGTTCTCTTTTCTGTTCTGATTGTCTCCAAAGTTGACAGCATTTCTATGTCACATCTTACAATTTTGTGTTGTGTGTCTCTAGCTAAGCATGGACAAGGTCCAGGCCATGTCCGAGCAGGTGGAGATCAAGGCTAAAGTGGTGCAAACAGAAGTGAAGGCTCTTGTCCTGAGACACAAGAAAGCGCTGGAGGAGAGGGAGTGTGAGCTTCTATGGAAGGTGAGCTGCTACTTTGTGTATTTATCAGCCTTTAGTGAAACATTTTTACACCCGACTTTGAACTCATTTTATTCAAAAGGGACATATTAGTGTCAATGTGCCAGAGTTAGCCAAACATCTACCTTTTTATCTGTAGTCCTTTAAAGTCCTTTAAAAACACACACCATCAAAGATAACAAATCAGTCCAAAATGAATGCTCACAGATCTGATTCCTCTTTAGCCATTGAGTTTTAAATGGTTTGGCGGTAGTGCATTGTCTTATTATAGCTGAAATATTAGTCCAAATGTCACTACGTTTGACTGATAACACTTCTTTACTAAATATTGGATGTCTAAAAGGTATACTACTGGTCACTGTTCATGGTCAGCATGGTGGTGTGGTGGGTTAGCACTAGTGGTGCAACGGATCACGGTTGATCTGTAATCCAAACCGATCCCACTCCACGGTTTGGCACGTGATCCGAAGATTTAAAAACGAGGGGAGAAAAAAAAAGTGTGTGTATGGTGCGCGTGGTGGGTCTGTCAAGCGATAGTTATGGCCAGCGATAGTTATGGCCAGCGATAGTTATGGCCAGCGATAGTTATGGCCAGCGCTAGCGGTCCAAGTGGAGGAGCAGAGGAGTTTACAATATTTAAGCAGCCCTTTGCTGCCCAGTCCGACCGAGCTAAAGCTATTACAAAAGCTGCTAGGGTGTTTAGCTGCAGACGGGAGGCCGTATTCTGTTGTGCAAAACAAGGGGTTTAAACTATGATGAATGTGCTTGAGCCACGCTATGATATCCCGTTCGCGTCCACTTTAGTGGCAAGATCGTTCCAAGCATGTATGAGCAGGAAAAGATTTAAGTTGTGGCTGAACTGTCCCAGGCATGTTCTGTTGCTCTAACTACTACAAATGGGTGGACCTCCAGGGCAACGAAAAGCTACGTGACCGTGACAGCTCATTATATCACAGCAGAGTGCGATATAATGAGCGATATGTATTATTGTAGGGTCTACCTTACAATATAAAGCGCCTTGAGGCGACTGTTGTTGTGATTTGGCGCTTTATAAATAAAATTGAATTGAGTGGTAGATACAAAGACTGTACTGAACTATATTGTACCATATTGGGGTTTTTTTTAATTGCGTGGAATGAGTCTAGAGTTAAATGTTTTTAACAGGCAAAAAATACCTCAATAAGTAAATGTTAAATTTGTCTTTTTTTGCTGATCCGAAAATTGATCCAATCCGTGACTTAAAACCGTGATCCGATCCGAACCGTGAGATTTTTGATCTGTTGCACCACTAGTTAGCACTGTCCTCACATTAAGAACATCCTGGGTTTTAATCTACTGACCGGTGACCGGCTTGGGTCTTTCTGTGTGGAGTGTATGTTTTTTGTTTTTTTGTTTTTTTTCCTGTGAAAGTGGGACTTAAACAACGCAAACTAGACTCAGATGTTGCCTCCAGTGTCGCAGAGTTACACCTTCCTATAGGAAAAGCAACTACAGGTCATGTTGTAGCAACAACACCACAGCAACAAGGATAAAGGACATTACACACAGAAGAAAAACACCCCACACTTCAGGATTTTTTTTGGATTCAAACTTGTTGTAACGTATAAACAAAACGTATAAAAAAATTTCCTCAAAAATGCACTGAAGTCAGCATCAAGTGACGATGAGCTGGTCCTGACGTTTCTAAACAGAAACAGAGATTCTGGATTAATCCATTTTCAAGTTGAAGCTGTATCATGACCGCTTGCATATTTCAGGTTGTTACCATTTCTATATCATTATATATCCAGCATCTGTGCATGTCTTGAGCTGTGAGTGCATTTGTTGGGAAATGCAGTAATGTGATTGGCTGGACCTGTTTATTTGCATGTGAAAAATGGAGCTTGGTTCAAAAATAGTCCAGAAATATTTTAACGCAGGACATATTCACAATCACTTTAGACATCCAGTCTTTAAAGGACTTCAGGATGGAGGTTTTTTTTTTTTTTTTTTTTTTTTTTTTTTTTTTTTGTCTGGTTTGCTCCATCCATTTTCTTTCTCCTTACATTTTACCTTTCAGTACTGTTACTTTAAGTGGTTCGTATCCAATGTAATCATCTCAGCTTTAGCGTTCACGCACACCAGTGCAGGATTAAAAATGCAAATGATAGCACCCATTGGGGCAGAGTCTCCGTGGGGATTAAACACGGGGCTGTAAATCATAGTTAAGGGGAATACGCAGTGCTTGAAAGCATACATGTCGAGATTGGTTAATTAAACAAAATCAGCTGTTACGCTGACAGTTTGGCCTAAAGCCTACAGAAGAAGCAGGGCCACCCAGGTTTACAGGAAGATCCATCACCCTGGGATAACTCTGCTTCCAATTCTCCAACATGCGTATCATTATTTGAATCACATGAAAATAGTCTGTATGTCGCAAGTTTAGGAAATATGACTAAGTCTGATATTTTGACCTGATGGAGCGTGACACAGTGTTCCTCCAAACTCTTCTATTGTTTTAGTCATTCTTGTGGTTTTTCATTTTTCTCTTTTTGAATCCTCACCACAGTAATAGCAGCCTTTCATTCTCACAACACTTTGGAAGTCCTTAGCATAATATTGATGTGCTATGAGTTTTGCAAGCTAGTTTTGTTCCATTATGTGTCTGTTAATTTAAACAAAATGGTATTTGGGTTATTTGTAACTATTTTTCAGTAAAAACACAATTTAAAGAGGTTTTTATAATGGCTAATTGGAGTAAAACACGATGAGCATGAACCTAAATGCAGTGTAACAATGTAACCAGTGTTATCTATGAGGACTGTTTCCGGACTTTGCTCTCATACTATGGGGAACTTGCTGGGTGCACTGAGCAGCTCCTCATGTTTGATTTACTGCATTTTAAACCAATGCAAACGGGCTCCTGTGCTGTCTTCCAATATACCAGTTGCACATCTCTCCAAATGCTCCAACAACCAACTTGAGCATAAGGATGATTCGCCAACAGACCGGTCGTACCACACGTAAAACAGGACAGGGATGTCGTCTTCTGCTGGCCACTGTGAGGGTTACTGGTGGGCCCAGTGGTGCTAGAATAAAGGAAACTGTCTCCAGTCACGTGCTCTTCAGTCACCCAGCACTGTATATCTGAAAGTGGACAGTTTCATGATTCTGAGTTGAGGGTAAACATGCTGCATACGTGACTGAGTCAGTGTGCGCTTGAATAACTAGGACAGGAGCTGGTCCTGCTTTGCTCTGTCTCGTTGAAATGCACACCACCTCAGCCATTCCTCTCTTCACCACATTCAGCCGAGGGACTAAAACCAGTTGTCTGTTCATCAGAAAGCCCAACTTGAGTCTTTGTCCTCGGCGACTCTTAAGTGTAACTCTAGTCTCACAGATGCAAATTACAGTTTCACCTATGCCACGGGTTAACAAAGAATCCCTCTCTTCTGGAGTCTTTGTTTCTTTTGGGTCCCTCCCCGCTATCAGAAGTCCTTCTAACCACAGAGGCAGTCGGGCTATTGTGTTTTACTTCTTCTTCTTTTTTTTTCCCTTTTTTGTTGGGTTGCAGTAAGTAAGAGCCCAGTCGGTGCTTCTCAGGTTATACCACCCTCTTTAATGCTTTATACTCTCTGACTCTAATGGAACCTAATATGACTTCTAACAGGAGCAGTGTTACAGTTAAACGAGAGTCAAAGTACTTAAAAAGAGGTGGAAAAAACCACACCATTTTTTTTTAACTAATAAATCATTTTGGTTCTTCCCCTCTCAGCTTTACATCTCCAGTCCTGGTGTCTTTGATACAGTGTTACGCACTTTATTGTGTTCTGTTGTTCAACAAAGGAAAAAGGTCTCTGGACATTGGTTAGGAAATCTTGACTAGAGTCGTCTTTTTGCATAGATGATGATGTTTTGTGAATGTTGTATTTAAAATATATAAGAAATATATAAGCAACTATTTAGAACATTTAAACAAATCTTTATCAGTGTTTTTCACTTGCAAAGGTCTTCCAAAAAGGTATTAAGAATATGTGCTACTGCTACATCATGATTTTATTACTTGGATAAAGAAAATGTTTTTCAGTTCATAAAAGAGGAGACTGTTTTCTCTTTGCTTGACAGTTCAGAATAATCATCATGTATGTTATGCTGGGGCTCAGTTCATGCTCTTGAAACGAGCTGTTTAGCTGCTCTGACTTAAGGCCAACTTCTTTGGATTGACTGGCCTTCACAAATGGAAAATTTAAAAGGCAGATGACTGTTCTTTGGTCACAGCTGATGATGCGTACCTGAGACGGTTATATATCCTATCTGACATCATACAGGGCTAACAGTAGAAAAAACTGTCTGAAACGGCACATTTAGAGCATTTGATGACTGAGCTTTTTGGTTCAGGGTAAAACGTACACTGACCTGATATTTTCACTGCGTATGTATATGATAGAAAATAAGAAGGTGCGTAATCTGTTTCCTTCTAGTCGTAGTTTTAGCAGTTTGATAAAATTATTGAAAGTAACTTATAACAGTAACATTACTAGCCTTCATTAAACTTAGTGGTTTAGTATTTATAGACATTATTGGTGTGTGACCTGATCCACATGGCAGAAACTATTCACCGGCCACTTCATTAGGCACATCATTAGGCTTGCTAACTGCTTGTTAAAACACACATCTAATCAATCAATCACATGGCAGTTACGCAATGCTATTTAGTAGACATGGTCAGGATGATCTGCTGCAGATCAAATGGCATAGGAATGGGGAAGGAAGGTGATTTAAGTGACTTAACGTGGCATGGTTGATGGTCTTTGGAGTATTTCAGAAGCTGCTGATGTTCTGGGAATTTCCCACGGAAACATCTCTGGAGTTCACAGGGAACGGTCTGAAAAAGGGGAAAATATCGAGTGAGCGGCAGGACTTTGGGTGAAAATGAAAATTTCTCTTAATGATCTTTTTCATTTTCAGCCTTTAAGTTATTTTGAACAAGAGGGGGTGACACCATGAAACAAAATAAGTCTGCTAACTGTGTGTGTTGATGGGTGCATTTATTTTTGCAAGACTCTACTTTGCTATTGTGAGTCAAAGTGCATTTCTAATGAGTTGAATCTTGTCGAACAGGATGCTCTTGAATGTGGGTAAACATTTGCTGTAGCTGTCTTCCTAATCACCCGTACCAACTCCTTGCAGGTGGAGAAGATCCGCCAGGTGAAGGCCAAGTCTCTGTACCTGCAGGTGGAGAAACTCCACCAGAGTCTCACCAAGCTGGACAGCACCATTGCTGCTGTAAGCCAGGTGTTGGATGAGGGCCACCACCTGGATGTGTTGCTGGCGAGGGAGCGAATGCTCACTCAGATCCATGAACTCAAGGCCCTCAGAGGCTTGCTGCAGCCACAAGAGGACGACCGCTTCATGTTCACTCCTCCAGATCAGGTCAGCATTAGAACGATCGCAAGCCAGTCTTAGCTTACCTCATTTCACTGTTCAGTATTTTCACATTTACAAATAAATGTTATAATACAGAAGCTCAATTAACTGCATCAATGGTCCCTGCAGGCTCTCTACATTGCCATCCAGTCCATGGGCCTGATTAGCAGTGGGGCTTTTGCCCCGGTGACCAAAGCCCACGGTGAGGGTCTGAAAAGTGCCCTTCGCAGTAAGCCTACTTCCTTCACTGTGGTTGGATACGATCACGATGGCGAGCCACGTCTTTCAGGTGGGGACGCGTTGTCTGCAATAGTCATGTCGGTTACAGATGGTAACGTGTCCACAGCTGATGTAACGGATCACCAGAACGGCTCGTACACCGTCGGCTACCTGCCAAAATGTGAGGGGGAGCATCTCCTGTCCGTGCTGGTGTGCAACCAGCACATCCAGGGCAGCCCCTTCAAGGTGATTGTGAAGTCTGGGCGGAGCTATGGGTCACTCGGCACCCAAGTGTCATCCTTTGGCTGTGAGGGCGAGGGAGACGGTCAACTTTGTCGACCCTGGGGCATCTGTGTGGACAAGGAGGGATACGTGGTGGTGGCTGATCGCAGCAACAACCGTATACAGGTAGGTTTGTTATTGTGATGTCATCACTAACGGAAAGACTTAGAAATAGCACTTTATTGAATTAAAGAGTGAGCATGAATTTTAGATATAAAATACAAGGAACAGCTTGGTTTGAGGTGTTTGAGTGATGCTTAGCATGAAAGCATTAGCTGTGTTTACATTAGCGTGAGTGCATGAATGAGTCTTGCATTATGGAGCGCTGTGAGACTTTTAAAGAGTAATAAAGCGGTGTTTTCTCTCCAGATATTCAAGCCTTGCGGTGCCTTCCACCATAAGTTTGGCTCTCTGGGTTCTCGACCTGGTCAGTTTGATCGTCCGGCTGGGGTTGCATGTGACTCTCAGAGGCGAATTGTTGTGGCTGATAAGGACAATCACCGTGTGCAGGTATGAAAGCCCCGTTAGAGATGATCAACACAGCTGGAATTGCCTTTGACTTTCCATTATTCACAGAAAAATTAGGTGGGAGGGTAAAGCCCTTTAAAAAGTCAGCTTTTGATAAAACATAGCTCCTCACGCTTACTTTCTGTCTACTCCTCATGTAAACATAAGAGGCTCTAAAATGTTTGCTCTCTCTGACAGGTGTTTACTTTCGAAGGCCAGTTCCTGCTGAAGTTTGGGGAAAAGGGTACCAAGAATGGGCAGTTTAATTATCCCTGGGATGTGGCTGTCAACTCTGAGGGTAAGATCCTGGTCTCAGACACCCGAAACCATCGTGTGCAGCTCTTTGCCCCTGACGGTTCTTTCCTCAACAAGTACGGGTTTGAAGGGGCCCTGTGGAAACACTTCGACTCTCCCAGAGGTGTAGCCTTTAACCACGAAGACCACCTGGTGGTGACCGACTTCAACAACCACCGCCTCTTGGTTATTCGACCAGATTGCCAGTCTGCTCGCTTCCTGGGCTCCGAGGGCACCGGGAACGGACAGTTTCTGCGTCCCCAGGGCGTCGCCGTGGACCAAGAGAACCGCATCATCGTGGCCGACTCCCGCAACCACCGAATCCAAATATTCGAGCCCAACGGAAACTTCTTATGCAAATTCGGATCGCAGGGGAGCAGCTTCGGACAGATGGATCGCCCCTCCGGTGTGGCCGTGTCGCCCGATGGAGCCATTGTGGTCGTTGACTTTGGAAATAATCGCATCCTCAAGTTCTAAAAGGAAAGAAACGACCTTTTTTTGTATTCTCTCCCTACCTTTGCCTTTTTTTTTCTTTTTTTTTTGCAGTTTTTCCGATGAAGGAAACGGTGGAGAGAGAATGGATCGGCAGAAAGGAGGAGAGCTCAAAGATGATTGGGAGCATGCTGAAAAGAAGGGAAATTGAAACTATAGATTATTTTTGTCATTTTCATTTCTATTCTTTAAAAAAAATCTGATACCTGTGATATATACATCAAAGGGGGACCTCTAAAAATTGATAATCAATAGAAAAAGAGCCATATTTCCCTTCCTCTGCCTCAGCTGTTCCGAATTCTCTGTCGGCTCTCCTTAAGGAAACATCTCAGGGAATTTCTCACTTGTTCAAATCTTGTACTCTCTGCTCCGTACCTACCTCATTTACCTTATGAATGTACACAGTCTCCAAGCAGAGGTTTTTGTCCGTGAAGTTTTACAAAGAAGAAAAGTCTACCTCTATACTTTGTTATTTAAGAGAGACAAAAAAACAATAGACTCTACATTTAATATTTGCACAGGATTAATAGAATTCTTTCTGTGCATTTGGAAATTTGAGTAAACCTCCTGAATGTTGTTGCTGAGACAATACTCAGACCGCTGTAGAGGTTGCATGATTCGCCCTAATTAGAAGGCTTGGCTGAGAGGAAACTCGTAGAATAGCGTCTTTTGATGTTTGTAGTTTTGCTTTTTTTTTGTTTTTGTTTTTGTTTCTTTTTTGTTTCTTTTTTTTTTTTGCTCTCGCATTTAACGTTGTCTTTGTGTGGCTCTGTGGTGGTGTTAGTGTCATGATAGCCTAAGAAGTCTGTGTGAAGCAATGCCAAACTTGATAGACTTAAAATGAGCTCAGGTCATTAATTAACTGTAACCTCAGGCTCTCCCTCTAGCTTTACTGGCTAAGGCTTTTATGATGAATTTACTGATGTGTAGAAATATAAAGTTCAGGAGGTCAGATTTTACATAGCCCCTCTAATGATATGAATTCTTTGAATAATACCCCATAAACCCCGGCCTCACCTCTAACCCACTGACTGGATTAGTAATTACTACCCAGTCAGTTAAAGAGAGAGTAATATGCAAGGAAAGCAGCATCCTTTGTGTGGTCTCCCAATAGAGGACTAGATAAAGGATTTTAGAATTGAATCTTCCAAGATCTGTACCTAATAGATTTGTCTGAACGTTTAATTAAGAAAATAAATTAAAATGGTTATTTAAGTAATCGAATGACACCCTTATGATGAGGCGTGCTGTGTGACGAAAGCCTCGGAAATGGACACCTCATTTGGCCATTCAGATGACATTAATGACATCAGATTAAAGGCCTAACATTACAATCCTCTGCATTCACATTGTGGTTCAAAGCCACTTTCTTTGGCTCCAGGGGCCAAGTATTCAGTCCTGTCCAATGAGAGAGGACGACCTCCAAAGCCCGGCCCTACTTATTGATGCTTGGAGTTGAGACGCCTCCAGACTGAACGCTAGTAGATCAATTCCTCTAAAGATGGAGGTCTACAGAATAACTACTAGAGTCAACCAAAGTTAGAAATCCTGCACAATGGCCAACGGAAGATTTGGCGATTTTAAAGCAAATCAGAATCTCAATTGTAAAACATTTCTCAAATAATCATTGTTGTTGAGAAGTCTAAAAGTTGATAACACTCATTGAAATGAGTTGTGGGTTTTGAAGAAGAACACGTGCTTGGGTGCACAAGTACTTCCACTTCCCACTAAGACACAGGCACTGCCTGTGTGAGTGCATTTTTAAATTAGATCCTTGTCATAGAGTACAGGAGATACTTGCACCAAAGAGAAATTCTCCCTCCCCCCTCACATTTATCACCCCCAGCTCATCAGTGCCACAGTTTTACCATAGGCTCAAAGTAGCGTCTTTGGTCATCCTCGCACATATCCAGATTCCCATAAAGTGATGGAGACTCATTTGTGGTGAAAGCACTATGGGAATCCCCTTGTCCTTCAATCTACCTCTCACCACAAACACCAGACTATTGCAGTTTTGTTAACCACTTCCTTAGCCTTGCAAAGTTCTTGAACTATTAAATATTGGCTGACTGGCTCTCACCTCTGAGGTGAGGTCTGTCTGCACGTGATCAGGATTTCCATCCTCTCATCTCACATTTCCTTTACCTCAGAACTGTTTCATATACCTCAACTCTTAAAAAATACCTCAAGTTTGTCACTCGTTGCTACTGTGCATGTAAACCTTCAAATACCTCTACTTTTGTCATTCATTCTGAATAGATCATGTTTACTCTTTTATTTATGCATACCTCCTAGGATATTTATACCTCATTCACATACCGCACAATACAGTACATGCCCCATAGTTCTAGGACCAAAGATCCACGGTACTGTTCAAAGTTTGAATGAAATGCGCTTTATGGTCATCGCTCCATGCTCGTAAACCTGAACAGCCCTTGGTTTGTTGCATCTACTGTAAATGTCGGGGTATGTTTATGCTTTTTCTCACCAAGAAACCAAATGATTCAGACGAAAGCATTGTGCCAAAATGATTTGTGATAGTTCTGTGCCAAGCAGAGTTAAAATTTTTTGGACCATGCCTTTGTAGGCGACTAATGTCACTGGACTATTATCAAAGATACAAATGTTAAATCAGAGCACCTGAGGATAAATCCTCTTCCTCTGACTGGATGCACTTAAGAGGGCTGGGCCCCGTTTACCTTTACCTCATGATGATAATGGACATGTCCATTCCACTTGTAAGTTGTTCTAGTGAGCCGGGGGTGAGGGCAAGAGGAAATGTCCTCTTTTAAAGCGTTACCATCACATGTCCGCCTTTTTTGACTGCACATGAATTACCTCTTATTTCAGCACAATATTGCCGCGTGGATTTTCAGGATGCTTGGTGTTGGCTCTTCCAGAGGAGTAGCCTCTGGGAGTATCCTTTCAGACTGGTGGTTTAAAGCAGTGATTCCCAACTGAGCAAAACCTGTTCCCCAATAAAGATCGAGTGAAGATGAAGAAATGTGAGGTGTAAAGTTAACAAAAAATAAATCTGGAAAAAGCTGCAAAATGATTAACTAGTATCAAAGTGAGAAAATGGTTGGAAAGCTTGATGGTAGGCCAATGGCATGCAATGTAGTTACAACTTTAATCTGTTGTTTCTACACAAATTTAAATGAATACTTATAATTTAAATGTTATATGATGTCCCTGAAAATCACATTTAAACTGTTCACTACCCTTGTACTAATTTTTGTATGAAATAGATTTTTTTTCCCCACTTTTTAAAAGGTGGTGGTGGTGGTGGTGGGGGGGGTAAAATATCTGAGGATATTCTGAGGAATCAATGGTGGAGTCACCAGAGACAGTCTTGCATTTCAGATTTTCAACATCATTTGTATCCTTTCAAGATGGGATTTCCTTTAATTTGGGTTAGAATATCACAGTTGTCACCTCCTTTTTAAATCTTTGTTTTCTTGGTTTCCATGGTGACACGTACCCACTTTCTCTGGATAAAATCGTAGACTGTATACAAAAGATAGACTTGGCTAGCATGATGGCATCCACTGTTATGTGAATCTTGCAAAAACCACATTTTTGATGAGGGGCAGGTCAGATTGTGAATCTTACTATTTGGCTAACGAGTAGTTAATCATAAATCATTAGCCAATGAGCGTACCACGGATAGGCCTCCATTTAAAAACATGGTATGTACAAGATTTATAAAATGGACTTTAGTATGACTTGAGACAGGTGGCTGAGCACAAACTTAGGAGGAAAGACAAGACAGCCATTTCCTCACATATTTCTGAAGGACCAGAAGCCTTTTTTAGAACTATAGCTATCGCCATCTAGTGGCCTTTGGATAGAATGCAGGTTTAAGGCACTGACATATCTGCTTCGTTTTTCCATTCAAAAGCTACGTCCATGTTTCATTATACTCTGTGGTGAAAATTCTGCTTCTGACAAATGACTCACAAATTTGCGCTCGGTCACAATTCATGTCTATGAATAAAAATGTAAAAAACACAATCGATCAAGAAGACAAAAATTAGCCGCTATGTTTTTTGGGATTTTTCTTTGACAGTTTCTGGTTTGGTGCGAGACCAGGCTGTAGTACATGATGGATGAACTGTTAAATTGTTTCCCAAAACCATAGCCAAACAGTTGAATAGCAGTATGGATAAACAAATAAAACTGAATGGGTAAACAAAGGATGTAAAGGACACCTTAAACTGCTAGCTAAAATTATTTTTCCAATTTTTATAAAACATCTGTTATTTGACTAAAAGTACAGGTAGCAGATAAATTGTTAGCTAATAGCTTGGATTGAATAGTTAAAATAGCCAGATGGAATGTCAAAAAAATTAAAATGTAGTAGTAGTAATAGTAGTAGTAATAGCTACAGGTAGCGAATGAATGGCGGGAACATCGTGAAATAGGTTGGAATCACTGGTTTAAACAAATGCATGACAGGATTGTGGATGTAGCTATTAGCACATTTAACCACTGCTGCTTTGACTACAACACCCAGTTTCAACCAGTAAAGTAGAACATTTTTTTTCCTCTTCTTCTCAGTATTACTCTTTGACATGTTTGTTCATGTTGCATCGGGTTTTATTTTTTAATTAAGATTACAGAATTCTATCTTTAAGATCCTTAGGTCTTCACTCTTAAAGAGGAAAAAAATGTATTTTAAACCTTTTTTTTTGATTTTTAATTTTGTTGCATGCTTTAAAAAGTCTATGTATTATACTGATGTCTCTTTAGATAGATGATAAACTGAGATGGAGTGGGTAGCTGATTATTGGGGTGGTGTTTCCAAAATGGATACCCAAAAATGCGTGTGTGTTTGAGCGCGCGAGTGTGTGTTAGGATTGCGTTGGATGGAATTAACCGTTGACTTTTGTGATTGTATTTCCTGTTTTCTAGAGGCTCTGCAAAGCACCCACTGTTTGGGTAGCCATACTTTGAATCCACAGAAACAACCGGCAGAGTTTTGACTGGCGTGACCCTCGACCGTTAGTAATGAATTTTCCTCAACTCCCTCTAAAATGCTTTATATGAGCGGGCATATAGGAATGCTGTCCTTTCATGCTGAAGTGATGTAAAAACCTTCCCTGCTCAAATTTAAGATGAGAAATCCTTTTAGTAGGTGTGAGGAACAGCACAAACTAAAATATCGCCTCCCCTCCTCGAATCCGAACCCGACAGCGTGCAGGGATGGCCGCTGAGCACATGATCAGTCGACTGCAGCCCTGCTCTGCGTTGCTTTTTGGGTTTTTTGTTTCTTTGTGCTACCATTTTATTTCTGGCCTCCCACAATTTAACAGGAGAGAACAAAGCAAAGCCAGGTGTGCGAGGTCATAGACCTGCTTTTAAATGATTGTATACGCTTAAGAAAAGAACGAGGAGGGAAAAAAGGGGTTGGGATGTGTTTAGAAAGGAAAAAGACAAAACTCAGGTAGTTCTCAGCAGCGCTGTGCTGCAGGTGTCTCATTGAATCGTGTAGTGATAATGTAGTGACTTTTTTCTCCCCACCACCCACTGTTATGATCTCTGTACTAGTCTGATTCTTTTTGTGTGTCCACTTGCATATATAAAACAAATAATTTCTCAATTTGAAAATAATGCTTTCAATTTGTACCCTGATTTTATTTTTCTTTCCCCTCTGGTTCAAGTTTTGTTTTGTTTATTTTTATCTTTAACAAAAAGTACAACTATTCACACCACTTGATGCTCATTGGCCCTTTTAGAATGTATTTTGTGAAGAAAAGGGTTAAATGGCATCTTGCTGCTCACTCGCCGGCGCCATCTGCTGGTGGCAGATACACGGCAGAGACCACAGAAAATCTGTGTTACCACCGGCCGAGGTGGGAGCCGTCTCGTCCTGTCAGCTGTATCCTGTTCTTCCAGCAGCTGGTTGTCGCGTGTCAAGTGGGCGCCATGTGCGTGTGTCTGCGTGTTTGCGCTGCATCTGTGTCGTCTGTGCAGAAATCCACTGAATGTATCCTCCTCGCAGTCCAAGAGCTGGGGTGAGCCAGCGTGGCCAGCTGAGTTTAGATGGGTGCTGCTGGTGCTTTCTCATCCACGCTGCAGTGTGTGTTGTTATCAGTTCAATCTCAGTGTGTGTGTTTTTACACATGTGTGCACACACATGCACGTTGTAATGGATGGAAGTGCAAATGTCAGGTCTTCAGTCTAAATAAGGCATCGGAGACTATAAGATAACGGCCACGTGCTGCTCTCTCTGCACTCTGTGGACTTTAAACATTTCCTATGCAGTTTTTTTTTTTTTTTTTGGGTTTTCTTTGTTTACACTTAAATAAAGTTGTGTTTCTTTGACTTAAATCTCCTGTGAGTGGTTTTTTGTTTTGTTTTTTTGCTCTTAGGCCACGCTAAAACACTCATGAGGATTGCTTCACACAGCCCTGTTTCATCACATGTGGGCCGGACCAGTGAAATTCTTTGAAAATAATTTTTTTTTCCTTTTGAGATTTTTGGTTTTTGTTTAGTGAGCCACCCATTTTCAAAGCTTGACACTACACATTCAATAATCAGTGAAACCTTGACACAACCACTGTTAGTACTGCAACCGAGACCTCACTCTGATAACACTACAGCTAACCACTGCTTCCTAATGAAAAAACACAATATTCATGCCCAGTTCTGTGCAGTTCTCAAACGGTGTGGCTCAGACGTCCACTGAGCCGTGCTGCCTTTTGTCGACCAATCCTGGCTTACTTCCCCAGACAGTATATTGGTATTTACAGTGTATGCAGTCCAGTGGAAAAACTAAGCACACCCAACAATTCAGTAGCTTGTAGCACCACTTTATCAGCAATAACATCAACTAATCTTCTGCATGACTTTATCTGTCCATCACATTGTTGTGGATGAGTTTTGGCCCTCTCTTCTTTACAGTGTTGATATTTGTGGTTTATGTACAGCTTTCATTTCAGTCAGATTGAGGTCTGGACTTTGAACCACTGTTGCACCTTGATTTGTTTGGGGTCGCTGTCCTGAGCTGGGTCATGAAACTGGAAAATCTTTAGCTGGTAAACAACATAATACTGTGTATTTAAAGCAGACATTTAGAGCCTAAATAACTGAGTGTAAGGGTCTGTGTTAAGTTTCTTATGTGCAGTACCACACACACCAGTTAAAGATTCCAGGAATAACTGAGTAAACGGGTAAACCTGCCCTAGGCTGGATTTCCCCCCCGGCCCCACCCAAGCTTACTATTTAACTGGATTGGACAGACTGGTTTCACTGGGGGAGGGAAGCAAGCACTTCATCCTATTAGGCAATCATCCTTTCTTTGCTAACAGCTTTACAGTCCCCACTGTAAGGAAACAATGAGAAGTTTAAAAATATGTGAAGAAATGGAGCAGTATTGTTTGATTAAAATTGTGCATTAAGTTATAAAAGTCTCGGAACTCATGTTGATGGTCCTTGATTAGCGCATTCTGGGCTGTCATCGCCATCTAGTGGACACGATGGGTAAAAATCTTTGCTCAAAGTCACAAGATCACGAGACAAGCTCACATGCAGGACTGAACTCCAGACCGGCGATGATCGTGTCAGCACTTCACAGACTATTTGTGCACTGCAAAGTTTTTAACCTGTTCGACTATATCCTGCCTGCTGGGGTAGGTTGTAAACATTTAAACCTTCTTAGTAACCACGTCTTAGTAATTTTGTCGTGCACAGACCAACACTCCCAACATGTTTCTGGATTTTATACAGCAAAAAGCACTCGCCTCTGACTTTTAAATCAGTCAGCTATAGCTACAAAACATGTGCAATAGGCTAAAAGAAGAAGAGTATAGGGAAAACTCATAATGAACTTTTTAAGGTGTTGTGTGGAATTTTGAAAACTGCATCTAGTGAGACCGCAGCCCCATCTACACACAATGATTATTTTTTATTTTGTAAAAGACCTCACTGCTGAAGTGTCAGAATAGCAACAAGATATGGTACTAAAATCACCATCTCCTTGAGATACATCATTTAAACTAATGCAAAATTGCATAATGTAGAGCGAAAACCTCATTCACCCCACTGGAAGTTTACATTAAACATCAGTAATGCAAAAAGCTTCTCTCTAATGTTGCTTTTCAGTGAAACGTCTCGCTACATCATTACTTCTTACAGAGCTCCTATGTGCATCAAGTGGGTGTCTCATTTATTTTTCTTTATCACGTAGCAAGAAAAATGAAATTAATAATTTAGAAAGCTGGTATAAGCTGGTTAAGCATATTCTCCAGGGTGCTGATGGTCTATATTTGTGTTTAAGGGCTCTCAGAGGAAACTTAAAGATGACTACATTTTAGAGTCTATTTGAATTAAAGACCTTAAAGCAGATTTAGATTAGTCTTTAATGTAATAGTCCACACCTTCACGTCCTCTCTGCTGGACTTCTATCTCCAAAAACAGCAGATGGGGTTTCGTGAATTTAAGTAAAATATATGAAAAGGCTTTGAAAGGACTGTACACAAAAAACAATCACTGTTTTAGAGAAAAGGAGTCATTAAGAAAACCTTTAGGTACTAAGGTAATCCAGGGTTGGGTGATGCATGCATAGACTGCCCATACATAGCCCAATTTGGCAGCCGCTATTTTTGTTTGTTTGTTTTTTCATTAGAAAGAAATGGAAACCATATTTGGGTGACAGTGGAGCGCTGACAGCAAACGGCTAGCAAGCTTGTTTGTTAAACTTGTTTAACTCATTTCTTAGTTGAGTAAACAGGGGGAGGGCGGACATTAGACAAGGAAGACTCAGATATCAAGTTACATTTGAGAACCATTAAATTGACGGCGTTAAAAACTGTCAACTTATAAAGGTGTTTTGTTTTGTTTTTTGCTATCATTAGCTTTATTTTATTTTTTGGCAACAAATAATAAAATTCAGTTAGCTGCTAACACCCCCTCCTTATTTCATGATTTGGTTTGGTCCAGGTGCACGCACTCCTAGCTGATGACGAGCACTAAACCCTAGACGGCTCGTTGGGTTTCAAAAAAAGAAGAGAGACGGGTGGAAAATAAACTCCTAGATGAAAGAAACTGCTTATTAGTTAGCTTAATTCCTAACAGAAGATAACGTTTGTGTTATTTTAGCCAGCACGCAGACACTTTGGACATTTGAGTGTTAAATAACTAATCTGCCGACCTGCTGCCCGGCTAAACCGATCAACCCTCTGGCTCAGGCTCAGTCCCACTCCCATCTCCCCACACTCCTGACCCGTATTAACCAGGCCCACTGATATCTGAAGGGCCTTCAAATCCCTATTGATCCTCTAGTGAGTCTACCTAATCACACGACATGAGCCAAGGTGTAAAAACGGGTGTGGGTCACCAAAGTCAAAATCTGGGACTCTCCACCAATTGCTCTTAAAACTGAAAAAGCTTCTCGGATGAAAGGTGAAACGTCTTCAAGAAACCTAAAAGGGTCCAGAAACTTTTCTCTCCAAGATTATTTAGGTTATATTTACCAATACTAAATATTATAAATTAAAATGTTTAAACAATTTTACACAATTTTATTGAATTATTATTATAATTATTATTTTATTTACTTCATTCCAAAAAGTTAATGTTTATTTTGGTGTAAGGAACCAATCAATGTTAAAAACAAAACAAACAAAGCCTGATAATGTTGATAATTTCATTAACAACATTAAAATGAAGAAAAATGGCTTCACATCTCTCATCAATCTAATCAAAAAAATTATTTATCTAAGCAGAATATTGATCCATGTCTGCACAGTGTTATATTTCTGATCCCTGGTGGCACCCCTGCCTCTTATCACTAAGAGTAGCCCAGCCATCCTTTGGACAAGGCTCGTTTTCATTTCTTGGATCTAGGATCCTATTCTGTGGCCTTAAAAAACGAAACCCTAACATTACTATACCTGATAAAATTTCCCGACTACTGATAAAAGCAAGGAAAGCAAACCTATTAGTATAATTAAGTACAAAACTGCCTAAAATCTTCGTCTGACAATAGCATTAAACTTTTTTGGCCGTTTCTCTGAAAGCAAAATTGATCAACGATGGTGCAGATCAATCAAAAATAGACATGGAGGTCCACTGTGCAGCACTGGGAGGGTGGAACCACTGAACCTGAAGGCAGCTGTTTTAAATGTGAGCTGTTTAATGGAGGGTATTTTAATCCTCTCAAGTTTTTCCATTTCTAAATCTGATTGTGTTTTGACGTCTGTATTGAGCGGCTCTTATCTTCTAAAGTTTTTCTGACTGCCACTCTCTCCCCCTCGAGGATGGAAAAAAGTGCATCCAATGCAGTCGAATGCAGTTCCCTTTCTCTACAACTTGATGTCAGCAGTGCTACACCTCACTTCCTAAGTGCTCCACTGTGGGTTAATTATGACACAGTGGATTTGTGGTATGATACCGTGTTGATGCAGTGACTGCGCTCCGATCAAGATGAGGTTTGCAAGCTGTGTGAAATGCAGGTCTTCTGTGGGCCATAAAAGTGATGATGATGATGATGATGATGATGAGCACTCTTGTTGTGTAAAGTGCTCTTCTAGTCCTCGAGCAGAGAGAGGGGGATTCTTACAAAAGAAACAGCTGTTTGGACAGACATGAGTTGTGAACCGCAGGTTTGCAGAATCACAATGACAAGGAGCGGCGCGGCGTCACTGATCAAACACAACAGCAGGCTGCTGGGACCCCGAGCGTCTCCTGAGCTCAGAGTTGGGAAAACAGGAGCACCTGTATGTGCGAGCCCCCAGCAGATGGCTGGGAGGTCCTGAGTTGGTGTGTCAGTGTTTTTCGTGTGGATTTCTGCATCCACTGTGTTTATGAGTGACTGTACACGGCTCTCAGAGGAGCCAATTAGCTGCAGCAGACTGAGAAGGCCCCGCAGAGCACCGAGATCCAGACTGCTTCGCCTTGGTGGCGGCACAAACTCGACTGTTCTGCCAGAATCCGCCGAAAGCTTCAGTCACCTTTAGCCACCAAAGAGCTGAAAGATAGTTTCACAGTTTTTAGTAGTTAATAAGAGGGAAAAAATGAAAAATAACCGAATCAAGAAATCATGAAGAAATTGAAGTAATGATTAAAATGCATGAGGACCTTTCAGATAGCTAGCTAGCTCCATTAAAACCACTAACAAGTTAAAAATGGAGGTTTAACGTGAGGTTCAACAGCACATTCCCATTACGGTCCCATTAAAAATGATTCTTTTTAACCCTTTCCCCCTCTGACACCTACTTTAGGAAACCCTGGTTTCTGTTTTCTGAAATGAGCAGTTT